CTCTCTCTCTCTCTCTCTCTCTCTCTCTCTCTCTCTCTCTCTCTCTCTCTCTCTCTCTCTCTCTCTCTCTCTCTCTCTCTCTCTCTCTCTCTCTCTCTCTCTCTCTCTCTCTCTCTCTCTCTCTCTCTCTCTCTCTCTTTCTCTCACATTTTGGCGCTGCCTGCCCTGCCTGCCTGCCTGCCTGCCTGCCACTTTCGTCATCCGGACTTGAGAGTCTGTGTGTGTGTGGTTGACCGGTAAGAAACTGGCGCAGCATTGCGCGCTCGTGGGTGTGCTACTGTGCCGCCTCGTGGTACCGATAGAGTTGATGCCAGAGCGATTCTGAGTGACGCGCTGTTGTCCTCTTTTTTTATACTTGTATTATCGTCTTGCCGCTCGACTTGGCGTCGCTGTAGCTCGCTACGTCCCCGCCAGCCAGTTCTCATTCCATCCTTTCGCCCTTGATGCCCTTGATGCACCCAGCTCGGTGAATTGTTGCTTCACAACAACAACAACAACAACAACCCGATTATCCCCATAGCCCGTAGCCTGAACCACCTTCGTCATGGCCGACGACGACTGGGATGACGATTTCGAAGAGGACACTGGCCCCTACGTGCTGCAGCCCGAGGACATTCTCGCGCGCGCGCGCTGCCTTTATGACTTCGAGTCGACAAACGAAGTCGAGCTACCCCTGCGTGTGAGCATATGTCTGCTTGCTCTGCGCGATTGTTCATCAATCGATGACCATGCCGGCCAAGAATTAGCCTGCCAAGAATTAGCCTGCCGCAGCTCACCCAACCTCCATGCCTGTTCTACTCTGCCGATAGGAGGGAGACATCATCAATGTGACCCGCTTGGACGTTGGTGGTACGTGGCACGCTTCTGCAGCCGCCTGGAGGACAACTCTTCTTCCTGATACAATGCTTTTCGGATGGGCTTTCTTTAGGTGGCTGGCTGGAGGGTGAGCTCAACGGTCAGCATGGGCTGTTCCCCGAATCCTACGTGGAGGTGGTATGTATGCCCGTACTGCCTCGCTCACGGCCTTGCGATGCCTTCATCGAACAGCCCATGTGGTTATCCGTTCCATCGCCGATTCCACCAACCTCTCACCCTTGGTCCATGGACCAATCTTGGCTGTCGATTTGCCAGCTTGCTGCAGATGACCAGGGCGCGGCCGCACCGGTCTCAGCCGTGCCTCAGGCCGCCTCAGCCGCACCCCCCATGGCTTCGAGCGTGCCTCGCCCGGGACCTGGAACCTCTGCTGCTGACGCCCCTGCTGATGCCTGTGTGATCCTGGTGAGTGACCCGGCTTCTCGTCATTCTCGGCACAGCAGGCATGCGCGCGATAGAGGCTGCACGAGTCATTGTTGCTCACCCGCTTCATTTGTCACCAGAGTGGGCACGTTTGGCAACCTAGTCAAGAGCCCTTTACGCTCGAAGTGTCTGCTCAAGAAGGCAAGGAAAGGTTGGTCATGGCACGAGCTTGCTAGATCACTTGTCCCTTGCCTCTTGCCGCCGAACACGCCTGATCCTGCCCCGATCCCACACCCATCAGTAAATTTGGTGGCTTGAAGAAGTTTACTGCCTACCAAATTTGCAACACGGTCCGTGAATGCGAGTGCCCGTGATTTTACTCCGACCAGAGCCTCTTAAAAGCGAACCATTGATAGTGATCATGTGTGTTGGTGTGTTCTGGCTGTAGACAACGCAAGCCACCGTCATGCGCCGATTCAAGCATTTTGATTGGCTGCATCAGCGCCTGGTCGAGCTCTACCCCTGCATCGTGATCCCGCCTCTTCCTGAAAAACAAGTTTCGGGCCGCTTCAGCAAGAATTTCGTCGAGTATCGACGCCAAAAGCTCGAGCGCATGCTGAATCGGGTAGCCTTGCACCCTGTCCTTGGTGCTTCTTCCGTCTTTCGTCACTTTCTCACCGCTACAGACAAAAAGGTGTGCTTCATCAGTGTGTTAACCCGCTCTGCTCTCTCACTCCAAATATGTCTGTGTCTAAGAGTGGGGTAGGTTGCTTTTGGTCGGGTCGAGTGCTTAATATGAATGTCGCTTGGGTGTTCTAGGACTGGAAGAGCGGCAAGCGCCAGGCAGAGGGTGAGGCCAAGAGCGGCACCTTTGTGCAAAAAGTATATCAGGAGGAGTTGCCTCCGTCGGATGGGTACGCTTGCTAAAATCCAGCCTCTAACGATGCTGCTCAACTGGCCGGCACAAGGATAGCGTCATCGCGTTTCTCACGAATCCCATCCTTGCTTTTAGTCGAGAGGTCATTAGTGGCTTCAAAACATTTCACACTTGGCTCGAAAAGCAGCTAACGCTGATTGGCGACGAGTGCGATGCCCTGTTGATGCAGCACCACGGTGAGTCCACCCTCTCCAAGCCTACCTCGTGATTGCGCTTCTTCAACCTTTTTGCAACAGTCCCTCACATCACCGGGACCTCGCCTGGCATGCAGTGGCTGCTGAACATCTCACCAAGTTGGCTGACACCATGGGCAAGCTTGGTGAAGCGGCCACGCGCCCGGTAAGCACACAGCTTTTCTGTCTACCCACAACAGATTGACAAAGAGCCTCATTTGCCATGTCCCGCTCAACGCGTGCGCATATTTTAGTCATATGCCCCTTGGTGGGAGGAGCAGTCTCCAGCAGAGATGGACGTCAGTCTCGCCCTCAGAATAGTTCACGCACTTTCACCCGATGTGCTGCTCTGGTGTTTGGCCGATGTTGAGCTCACATCCATTCTGCCTCTGGTTGTTGTTTTGGGGAATGGGCACTCGTGCTGAACCACAGAACATGATGGACCGCATGGCCTATGTGGGTGACAACATTCGAACGCTCGCCGCTCAAATTGCGGAGCAAGAGGTGTGTGGCCGGGGCCCAGTTTTTGTTCTCTGTTTTTGCCCGGCTCAATTGTCCAACGGCTCTTGCAAGACCTCATCCAATGTGTGCGGGTTGATGATGATGATGATGGCCGGTGTAATGCAGGAAAATGACCGCCGTGACTTTTTGGGCTTTTTGCGTCACGAGCAAGGTCTGCTCAAGGCATTGCAGGTGCGCACGCTCATTTCTGAAGCCAAGGTGGTTTGTTTGTTCCATCGATACTATAAATCAGTCATCTCACAATTGGATTTTCATCTTGCAGCCTGTTTACAAGCAGCACGACCACTTGTATGCCGACTACAACAGCGCTCAGGGCAAAGATGGACAGGTTGACCAGGTTGACAACCTCCGCCAGACCTGCGAAAAGGCGACCAGTGTTGTCATGGCTGAGATGCGTCACCTCCATGAGGTGAGGGAGCTGAGCGTAGCCTCTTGAATTTGTTGAATCGCCAGAAATTCCTTGTGTCCTCTTTGAAGCATTGCCTTCTTTGAATCATCGTCGTCTTTGTCAAACGTAGAGTTTGTTGAATGACATCCACGCTTCCATGAAGCTGCACATTGAGAATCAAGTCGCCTACCACCAGCGAGTGAGTTACTTCTCGTCAGCGTCATGGACGAAGATTGCCCATCGAGATACTCGACTGCAAAAAGTGTTTTGCACCGTTCTCACCCTTGCAATGTTGGTCATGTTATAGTTGGCAGCCGTATGGGAGAACTTGCGTGAACAGTTTCCGTGATCATTTCGTCATTTGTTTTACAAGATTTTTTTTTTTTTAAAAAAAAACCAGGCCCATTGGGCTCGTGCTCTCTGAAGACCTGCCACTGTTTTGGGCGTGCTTGCGTCAGCCTTCTGCCTTGTGTTCCCAAGCTTCGGAATTTACTCCTTGACTCGAGTTGTTTCTGTTCAACGTTGATCATAGTCGTTCTATTTTTGCTGATGATCCTCGAATTGTTACACGAATCACTGTTTCGGTGCGGCCCCTCTCCCACAACCATTAAATATTCTTGGCAACCTTCTGATTATTTGTTTGCGTCAAAGCCGTGCTTTCGACGTCGTGGTGAATTTTTCTTGTTTTTGTTTATTTATTTTATTTTTCCCTTGAAAAGTGGCTGATGTAGTTCGATTCAAAGTTCAAAGTTCTCACCTCAAGCTTCGAGCGAGCCAGCGGCATCCAAAGCATCATCAATGTTTCATAGCCAAATGCCTACTTTAATTGGGCTGTTAACTCGCGAGTGATCAAAGGGAAAGGGAACTCAAAAAAAATCAATAAATTTTGTTGATTGGACAGTACAAAGTCAGCCCACTTCGAAGAAATTAGGCTGAAAAACAAACACAGACACACAGACACACACAGCATACGCATTCACTCTCTAGAATCGCGTTTTGGCGCGCAGCGTCGGCTTCCAGTCGAGGGGATCACGCTCCTCCGTCTACATGGCAACGTGCGAATGAGATGATGAGGCGAGTCAAAATCATGATCATAACACCCTCTCCGCCCCGCCCCCCCAAAAAATGAAAAATTCAAAAAGCCAAAAGCCAGAAACCGTTGCATTCGTACCGATTCGGGATCCTCCTTGTAGATCTTAATTGACTTGTCGGCCTCAGCCGTCAACAGGCGGCTGTAGCTCTTATCGAATGTCATGGCGTAGATGCCCGACTCACAATCGAGAGAGCCTATTCGAGACAGTGGTGGCGCGGGGTGAGATGATGTCATGAGTCGAAGGCATTGATGACAATGACAATGATAATGATGATGATGATGGTGTTGATTGTCGGGTCAGCAAAAGAGCCGAGCCGGCAAACTGCCCAACACAGTGTGTCAGAACAACCGTACCAGGCTGAGGAAGGGTCTCCATTTGCTGAAAGCGATGTCCGGTCTTGTAGTCCCAGAAGTTGAGGGTGCCATTGTCGGCACCTGACACCAACACATTGTCCGGGGTGGCAGCGAGGGCGTTGACGATGCTGTTGTGGCCACTCAGGTTTTGAATGAACTTGCCATCAGGCAAATACCACTGCTTGATGTTATCTGGTGCGCCAGAGGCGAAAGTGAATTCCTTGGGGTGCAGGGTCAGGGCACGGACGCTCTTCTTGTGATTGGTCAATGTTGTTAAACTGCGACCCATGCGGACATCCCACAGGCGAATGGTCGAGTCGTGGGACCCTACACAATACGATCTGTTGAGCAACAGGCTTGCAAAGCTGCTGTTTCCATCAAACTGTGATGAGCAGAGGACAAGGCAAACTTCAGACTCACCAGAGATGACCTGAGGGTCCAGAGGCTGCGCAACCAGAGAGGCCACCGTGTTGCTGTGACCCGAGAGGCAATGAATTTGTGCCTTGCTACGCATGTCCCACATCTGTGACATGCAAGACAGCAGCTGTAGGTGAGCAAGTATGCACCACTGCGCAGTAGCAGACTGGTTGAAAAAAAAAAAAAAAAGTGGGTTATAGGCTTGAGTATACGCTCCATCGCGCCTCCAGAAGCGTGAAGCACCGAAAGTCAAGCCCGCTGACACAGCGTTCCTTCCCCACAAGCAATCCAGGCTCGAAGAGAGAAGGACGTCGTGGGTGAAGGAATGAGCAAGAGAAGGAAGCAGATATCACAACAGTAACAACAACAAAAAGTGTGCCTTCAGTCTTGGCCTGGTCCCGTGTAATCGTGAAACCGTGACGAGTGGTGAGCTGAGCGGCCATAAATGGCTCGATAGCTCATCCTGCGGTGTTCCCGACACATGCAAGCCCATTTGTTCATCTCAAGAGAGGTGATGATGGTGCAAGCTATACCAGCCGTGCCCACGGCGCACGCTTCCAATGAAACAACGATTGGCAAGCCAAAGAGTTCTTACACACTCATAAACGTCAAACGCATGGAGACACAAACACCCAGATCCACACACAAAGAACGCACAAAAGCAAATGCCCAGAGGCAAAAGCATGCGCAGGCACTTCCAGACAGCAAGATTAAATGGGTGCGGCACAGCCAAAAAGTGACCGGAGCGAACACGCCGCGACAGAGTCCGGACGGGCGGCGATAAGGTACTCACACGAACTGTGGCGTCGCGACCGCCAGTGAAGAGGATGTCCAAAGTCGGGTGAACGGCCAGGCAGAAGACAGAGCTGAGATGGCCGTGGTAGTGGCGAACGACTTTGTTTTGTTCCAGATCCCAGCACTTGACAGTCTTGTCCTCGCCAACGGAGAAGAGATACGGGTGACGATCGCTCACAGCCAAGCCACGCACGGCACTGATATGGCCCGTGAGCGTGAGTTTCAGCTCGGTTGACGCAAGATCCCAGATCTTGATGGTGCGGTCCGAGGAGCCTGAAGACATGAAGGCATGAGGGCATTTGTAAGTAAGAGCACTGCAAATTGCGGCACTCTTCCCGAAATGACCAGAAGGATAACATGTACAGTAGTAACACAAAGCCCGGGGTGCGCCATGGATTCCACGAGTCGTGGCGCTCATTCAAAAAATAGATGGATCAGATGTGGACATACCAGTGGCAAACCATTGATTTCCAGGCTCCACACAAATGGACCGGACCCATCCAGTGTGACCGCTGACAACACGATGCAGCTTCCAGTGTGGGTGCCATTGTGGCTTGGGCATCATTGGGACCCGTTGTTTTATAGCCAGTGCTCGCGAGCTGGGCACACCCGTCTCCTAGCGGAGGCACAGCGAGCGATTCGCAGTGAGCACACCCAAGCTGGCGTGCGGTGCATGGCGCAATGTCGCACCTCATGTCGCATGGCCAGTGCCTTTGAGCTCAGCTTCGGGCTGACAGGAAGAAAGGAGCAAGGGCATGATTCAAACACGGGACGGTGAGATTGATCCTGATAAGCTGGGCCACGCTGAAGCGAACATCCCCCAGCGTACGATACGCACCCGCTGGCCTGCACGGGCACGATGGCGCCCACGTGCGTGCTCGGGCCGGATGAACTACTGTCGCCCTTGCCATTGTTGAGGACCACGGTCGGCGTGACGCTAGGCGCAGCAGGGCCTGCAGAAGCGCTTTGCGTCTTGCGCTTCAAGGAAGCCGGTGCCGGCAGATGTTGGACGGAAGCATACTCGCTTTGAACCTTAAAAGCCACCTTGGCCGCCCGACTAATGCAGGTGCAACAACAGCATTCGCGTCACATAGGTATGACATGTCGTGAGTGGTCTATCAAATGGGAGATTGGGTACCATCGGCTCTGGGTCGGTCACCCGGCTCAAAAGCTGCGGCACATTGGGTCGCGCCGCACGAAGCGTTCTGACGATCCACAACGACGACGGTTTTCACCCAAAACCGCTGTGCCGCACCCTTTTGAACCAGTGGGCCCGAAAGTCTTGCTCACCTCCCATCGTGCTTCACGGGCACTTCATCCTGGTCAGCAATGTACAGATCACGGGCGCGCTTGACCATTCGGAAAGCCGCCTTGGCATCGCGCTCGGTGACCTCCGCCGCCATCGTGCTGGTTGACAAATGTGCTCCAGATCAGCTCTTGTCATTACATATGCTGACAATTCAAGCTTCGGACAGAAAATCGCTCTCTCTCTCTCTCTCTCACGCGCGCTCTCTCTTTTTTTTTTTTTCTCTCACGCGCGCTCTTCGCTCTTCGCGCGCTCTCTCGCTCTTCGCGCGCGCTCTCTCTCGATTGCGCGTTGAAGGGGGCAGCGGGTGTGACGGCCACCGCGAGTATGTGGGCGGCTTGGCGCCGGGCAGGCGCAGCTGCCACCACCACGTTGGGTCTGAGGCGGGCTGCTTTCACTGGTTGGATCGGGGTCATGGGTCGAGGGATTAGTGGTTTATCGGGGGCGTCGACGGTGTATGCGCTATCGTCAGCACCAGGGAAGGCTGGTGTGGCGGTTGTTCGCATTTCTGGCCCCGAAGCCCTTGCGGCAGCGGGGCAGCTTCTGGGAAAGCGGGCGTTGCCCATCCCCCGGCAAGCGACTGTGGCTCGCTTGAGTGATCCTTTGACTGATGACCTGCTGGATCAGGCCCTGGTCCTCACTTTTCCTGGGCCACGCAGCTTTACCGGCGAGGTACCATTGTGGTTCTCTCTTGACAGCCCTGGCAGCACTGCCGTCGCGGCTCACTGGTGGGCCTGTTCTTGTAGGATGTGGTTGAGCTGCATCTACACGGCAGTCGTGCTGTCGTTGCAGGCGTGCTTGATGCCCTGGGGCGTCTCCAAGGGCTTGCGCCTGCCCCACCTGGTGAATTTACCAAGCGTGCCTTTGCGCACGGCAAGCTCGGCCTGACCCAAGTCGAAGGCTTGGCTGATCTCATCTCAGCTGAGACCACATCGCAGCGCCAGCAAGCGCTCCGGCACTTGGGTAGGAGCAACGATCCTGTCGATCTTCTGGTCCAGCGTTGTGCCGGCATTCGTGCGAGCGCATGCATCAATGCTCATTTGTGGGCCGGGGACGGTGGCTCTCAGAGGGTGATGCACAGAAGTTGTTGCTGGGCTGGCGCCAAGAGCTTTTGCATGCACTGGCTCTCCTGGAGGCCTACATTGATTTTAGTGAGGATGAGAACATCGAAGAGGACGCCTTTTCCTCGGCCTCGGAAAAGGTTTGTACGCCGTCTTGCCGGGTCCTCTCCCGATGAATGCGACGTCAGCTCTCACGGCTGCGCATGTAAGGTTGGACACATGGTGGAAGAAATGCGCCGCCATGTTGCAGACAGTCGGGCAGGACAACGAGTGCGAGATGGCGTGCGCATTGTGCTCTCTGGGTTGCCCAATGTGGGCAAGTCCTCGCTATTAAATTATTTTTGTCGCCAGGAGCGCGCCATTGTCACGGATATTCCGGGTACAACGCGCGACCTTTTGACCGTTGACCTCGAGCTTCGCGGTTTTCCGGTCATCTTTGTGGATACGGCTGGCATTCGATTTGGCGATCAAGTGGATCGCGTTGAGCAAGAGGTGGGTCTTGAGCAAAAGCGGGTAATTCTGTCCGGGTAGTTTGGGCTCTGCTTGCCTGAACTTTGCCTCCATACCCCCCTTCACATGCTCAGCGCACACTGCTATTCATCGTCCTCTTGGTTTTTTTGATCCAGGGGGTGCGTCGAGCTCAGGAGGCAGCAGCCAACGCTGACGTTCGCATCTGCCTTCAAGATGCTACCAACCCCGAAAGCTTGTGCTGCTCTACACTGAAGCAGGGCGGAGTTCCCTGTGCTTGCCTCCATGGGTCGGCAATAAACGCCGATCAGTCTACACCCCCACATCTGCTTCGCGTGGTCAACAAGTGCGACGCAAAGCCTCTATCAATGGAGCTCAGTGAGGGCGTGTTGAGCGTCTCTTGCTTGGAACGAAAAAACCTGGACCAGCTCACCACTGTGCTCGGTGATACCGTCGAGACCCTATGTCATACCGCTTCTGGCGAAGTGCCAACGGTCGTGCGCCACCGGCATCAGCAGCATCTGACGGCTGCTTTGGAGGCCTTGGAACAGGCTTTGGTAAGTTCAGTGCACGGCCCCTTGTACACGGCCAGCAGAGAGCCATGCGTCGGCCTCACCCTCTGCTGCCTGCTGCCGTGATCCCCCACCAGGCGCTGAGCGCCGACTGCGTCCTCATGGCCGAAGAGATGCGATATGCCCTCTCTGAGCTGGGGCACCTGACTGGTCATGTTAAACTGGACGAAATGCTTGACATTGTTTTTTCTGAATTTTGTATTGGCAAGTAAATGGCTAGCCCTCCAGTTGGACGCAAATCTGACTGGCGCAAGACCAAGGCGCCAGGCGCTTGCCAAGGAGGATACGGCGGGCATTAATGCAGCCGCGTGCATCCAGCATGTCTGACTGTTTCGAGCCGTTCTTGTAGGTGAGATGCGAGCGGTTGTGCAGATGAACAAGATGAATCAATTGAATCAAGCGGGCCAGAAAAGTGCACGTTGCTCTACTTGCCGGGCACAAATGGCCAGAGAGGAATTGAATGGCGAATTCTTGATTCTTTTTTATTTTTTTCTGCGCCCAGGCACGTCATGCGGGGTAGGTCAGGCGGCCGGTGCTGGCCATGCGCCGCGCGGTCGGGTCTGAAAATGGGAAGGTTGAGACCACCGTGGGCAAAAAGCGCTTGGCCTGCATGTAGGCGCGAATGTCGGAGCGTTCTTCAAGGCGCGCCAGTGTCCAGTATAGTTCGAGCTGCTGCGGGCCAGACATGTCAACCGCTTGCTTCTGCAGCTGACTTCGCTGCGCAAGGGCCTCTAAATACTTTTGCTCTTCCTCGATGGCTAGATCAACTGGCACGGGCGCACGGCTGCTGGCGGGAGTCGCACGCGAGTTGCGCCGGGCGGAACTCATGGGGGTATTTGCGGCCGAGCCGCGTCGGCTTGAGGTAGCGGAGCTCCAGTTGTGCAAGGGCGTGTTGACGGCGCTGGCACCATGTGTTCGGTAGCTCCCCGGTGTGTGGGGGGCCAAGGCACCTGGGCCACTGTATGGGGTCCCGGCAACGAGGCCATTCTCTGGCAGGGCCAAGGTTGCGGCAAGCTCATCGAGGCGCACACGCTTGGGATCTGTTTCATCAGGTTGTTCCAGGACGTCGTCCTCCACACCTTCATCCGAGGCAAAGAGCACACTTTCGGGAAAGCCGGCCGAGAACTCATCACGGATTTCTGGGTCCTTCAAGGCACGCGGATGTCTGCCAGGGTCAAGATCAACGGGAGCACCAGTGAGGAGTGTAATTGAAACGGTCGGCATCAGCCATGGAGTTGCAGATGTGTACGGACGGGCAAGGCACGTCGGGCGAAGCACGTGAAAGCGACTCGTGCAACATGCCTGGTAGAGCAGTCATGATACTGCCATTGCAAAACTGCAACGGGATAGCGAGAGTGTGGTAGCGTGCGTGGTCGAAGGCAGTGCGCACGCCAAGTATGCTGGACCTATGCAAACGTCGCACATCAGACAAATAAAGATTGGGGGAAAAACTTTTAATGGACTGCCGCTGTGCATACCGCGCTGTGGGTGCTGGACACAAAGAGCCCTTTCTCTTCGTATCCCTGAAGCAGCTGTCCATTGAATGCGGAGGCCTAAGGCGGAAAAGGGCGACAGCAGAGTGAGTGGCGACACGGGTCAAGGCCGCCTCATGCAAGCAACATCAGCACTTGACCGGCGAACAACTTGCGCAGAGTTGCCTGTATACCTGTTGGGCCATGCTTCGAATGACGCTCCTTTGTTGGGAAAGTTTCATATCACTGATTAAAGTGCGAGACAAGAGTACACAGTCGTAAGATGGGAATTGTGGCCCTTTGTTGTAAGAAGTGCGGGAATGTAGATCGCTGGCGCGCATTCTTCAGCACGGCCAATGTAAGACCAGCCATCCGGGCAGGCGTCAATCGAGAACATACTGGTTTTGGACCTCCGGGGCTAAACGTTGCTGCTCGACGAGTTCGGCGGTCCACAAATCGGGGTGATGTTGTTTGAGGTACTCGAGGGCATCATCGGTTTGCACGACGGTGACGCCGCCGCTTGCAGCAGCCAGATTGGTATGGATAATGCCTGAACGTTGCGCGTAGGCGAACTCTCGGTGCTTGATGACGCGCACTTTAACGTCTGCAATTGAGCCGGCGGCGTTCAGGTCAAGCACAGCGAGCCGAAGGCACAACAAGGGAAACTTCCCGTCTTTCCATTTCTTGTGATCCTCTCTGATCGTTTACGAAGATAACATACGAGCGTCACGCATCATCTGCAAAGTCTCATCGAAGGAACGTCGTAGAAGAAGGCACATGTGGATGAGGGGGGTCATCCACGGGCCATCCCTTTCCTCTTGCGGCCAACGGTACGCGGGCATGATCTTAGACTTGCGCACGCCCATATCCTCTTGCAGACGAACTGTGGTAGAAGGCAGGCATGAAAAATATGAGCACCGACAGCAGACATGTGCCTGCGCACCGCTGAGCGCGTAAGGACTGGAGGCTTGAAAGGGGTGTATGAGAAAAAAAAAATACCTACGTTTAGCCCAGCGTGGCTTGGGGATGTTGCCACCGCACGCAACCCATTCGGCAGCCTTTGTCGTAATGGCTTCCCGAACGACCGCCTTTGAACGCGGTGGGAGGTTCAACGGTATGAGTCCAAGCAGGGTACACAGGAGGGGCACGAAACGAGCCGTTGAGACGGGTTGAAAGGGCAGGGGCGATGTTGCAGACACGTACGTGAGGGATGCAAGTTTCACGTCGCATGTGGGTCTTGAGGTCTGAAGGGGTGCGAAAGGTCCGCGAGCACCAGGGCGTTGGACATTGAAGATAGTGCAGGTCAGGTAGCGTACAGAGGAGAAAATCTCGTTGGCTGGTCATTTGCTCACAGGCGCCTCGGATGGAGAAGCGGGGATCTTGGACAATGGTGTCCATGTATTCCTGGGTGAGAGGCTCGAGGGGGCGCAGCCCCAAGTCACCCTCGGTGCCGGTACTAGCAATTGCCTCATCGTTGGTGTCGGCGTGGGCGCCGATGTGAAGAAGATTGGCTGGCCTATACCGGCGCTCGACCGGCTCAGTCACGACGGCGCTGGCTGCCGTCTCCGCATCCTCCTCAGCCTCACGAGCCGGCGACGCCGAGCGTGGGGATGCTGGGTCCGCCATGTGTGTTGCTGTGCCTTGCTCCCTTCAAATTCGGCTTATATATCCGAACCACCGCCACCGCCAGCTCCTATCTCCTCGGTCCCAGGCCGCCCCTGTTGTTGACTCTTGCAAGAGCGCGATGAAGCGCGACACTTGAAAGAAGCTCAACACACACTCAGAGAGCGCGGCGCAGAGAGAGAGACAGACAGAGACAGAGAGAGAGAGAGAGAGAGAGCCGTTACAAAAACCAAAAGACAGAGAGAGTTTGTGAGAGAGAGAGTTTGAGAGAGAGAGAGAGAGTTTGAGAGAGAGAGAGAGTTTGAGAGAGTTTGAGAGAGAGAGTTTGAGAGAGAGAGAGAGAGTTTGAGGGAAAGAGGAGAGTTTGAGAGCTTGAGAGAGAGAGAGCTTGAGGCTTGAGAGAGTTTGAGAGTGAGAGATTTAGAGAGAGAAAACGAGAGCTTGAGAGCTTGAGAGCTTGAGAGAGAGAGAGAGTGTGTGTGTGTGATACCAAACGATAGAGAGATGTATAGTGTAACATCCGCCACATTTTAAACAGGTACAGAACCAGTACGGTCAGCGTTGGTGTAGTTAAAACTTCGGTTTGTGCTGAACCGAATAAGGTTTGTGTGTGCTGTCGGCGGTGGTTATTGCTGCTGATAGTCGAGTTATTGTAGAGGCATTCTAACGGTTTTTCTGTTTTTTTTTTTTTTTCGGGTTCAAAACGGCAGCGACTCGACCCGGGTGTCGGTGGTGTGGGTGCCGGCGGCGGGTGTTGGAATCGCCTCGCTTGGAGGGGCTGGGGCCAGGAGATGCATGGCGGAATAGCGGTGTCTGCTGCAACAAGTTCCAGGGGCTGTGCTGAGTCACAACTTGGCGAGGACGGCAATCAATTGTGCCGCCACCTTCGGGCTCACGTCAGCCAGGATACCGCTCGTCCAAGATCAACATGGGTGGGCATAGAGCTGAAGTCGCTATTGCGGCATCGGCAGATGCACACGTTGAAGATGAACAGGATGTGGAAACTGTCCAGCTGACTGCCGTTCACATGCCCATCTCTACCTATTCTCGAGGTTCCATTGACGAGCTGGAGGTCTTTATGCCCCGGCGCAAAGGTCGGCAAGCCTTGGTCGCCCCACGATTCCTGCACGGGGACACACGTGACCCCATGTTGGCAGCCGATGACGTCTTGGAGGATGCTCGTTTTCACGAAGCTGGTTTTCAGCGCCGCTGCTTGGGCCCCAGAATGATGCGCCAAATTACCGCTCTGCAGCGCCACCACGATGAGCTCGAATTTGTCTGCCCCAATGAAAGCTGCGTCAAAGCCTATCGCTCCTACACCGGCCTCATCAATCACATCAACACAGCTGCCTGCAGCACCACTGTGCGTCTGACTCACCATGGCAGAATGTCGCTGTCAGATATCCCATCCTCTTCCCTCTTTTCGCACTGGCCTTCACACTCATGTCCTGCCTGGCTGGTTGCCCACGGTTTCTCAATCACAGAGCGAGGTGTGTCGTGTCCTGTCCGAGCGCTTCCAACAGCTCAGTCAAGTACCACCACAGCGCGAAATGCATCTCCGTACGCGTGATCACGATAGTCTGCCTGCCTACGAGCTGGACAAGGTGCCTCATCCGTCCCATCGCGCTGCCATCACCAAAGTCCGTTCATCTTGCCATCATCCCCCTATCTTTTTGACTCGGCCCTCCCTTGTGTCATGTTCAATAGAAATGGTGGACACCAGCCCTCGTGGCTTCGCTGGCCTTGAGCGCAACTCCTGAGGAACTCGTGACGATTCATAGTAGGCTCGCGCTCTGCTCGATGACCATGGCACTTGTGGTATCGACCAACCCTGGCTTGTTGCTTATTGGCTGCTCCTCGCGCTTGCCTTGGAATGGCAGAAATCCCACACCGCATGGCCTCACCTTCAGAAGTGGCCACCCTTGAAGCAATGCAGTTCATCTCACCCCTGACCTCAATGAACTGTGAGTTGTGACTTTGCTTGCCATGGTTAGGCTGATCCTGCACGTGGCATGAGCTTGGCTGTGTGGTGGCAAGCATCAGCGCATGCTAACCAGCCGGACCAGGCCCAGTCCACCCTGACCAGACCCAGTCCACCCTGACCAGGCCCAATTCACCCTGCATCTCACCCCATCTCACCTCATCTCACGCCCACGTTTGTTTGAATCAACGTCACGTTAAAAATTAGCTCGGGGCGTGCGTGTTTTTGATGCCGATGCCATCTTGGGCATGGGTCAGTTCGCTAAGACACGCGCCCGACGAATGGACGAGCTGATGATCCGCCGACGCGACACCAACGAGACAGGCTTGGCGCATACCGCTCACGAGGAGCCCACGCGCGAGCCCACTGCCCCGTACGTTGGAATGCCTCACAGAACGCGCCGCTTTGAACGTTGGCCCATACTGCTTCCTGGGCACCGTGGCCCCATTGCATGCACGATATCCCACACTCATTCACGTGTGACACGGCATGGCGGCATCAATGCGAGATAGACATCTTGTATGGCTTCGTTGCGCCCAGGCCAAGCGTTCCATCGCCGCCCAAGCACACGCTTACAATACAGCAATCCTGCATCAGTGCTTGCGCGACAATCGCCGCCATCAGGCCATCGAAACCCAGGTCCGCGCCCCGACGTTGCGAGGATGGCTCTTTTTTGTGTTTGCGAGCAACTCAATTTTTATGCTGCGATAGAACATGCAATATTCTGCCGCGCGCCGCGCCAAAATGCTGTCATTAATTCAAAGTTGTCGCCGTCCGGTGCGCCTGTTCAAGGAGCAAGGACAAGATGGTGTACTTCGGTTAGAATTGCGTGGATCTGCATGTCTCATCTTGAGTGGGCTTGTCCGCCTTGTCGCTATATCGACAGCTCACGGGCCCCGTCATGTCAACTTTTGCACGCAGGTTGTTCGGTGACGAGTATGAAAAATATATCGAGAGGCACCGCGTCGCGCCTCCTGAGGCTGCTTCAGCGCCGACCAGCGCGCTATCGTATTTGAAAAAAGCCAAGCATGTCTTTGACATTCCCCAAATCACTCGAGATTTGGTGCTGCGACGTGCGCACGAGCGTGCACTCACAGTCCCACGCGTAAGTCGACCCAAACTCATAATTCGGATGTACGGTCTGTCATCTTGTCTGACAAACCTGGTCGGCAACACTAGATCATGGCGGTGCCGCGGCCAGACGACGTGTGCACCGTCTGCCAGCGCAAGGGGCTGGGTGAGGGAGCGCCGCACATGCAAGAGATGCTGACGTGTAGTGTATGTGGTGGCACGGGACATCCCAGCTGTCTTCGTTTGCCAGAGGAAGCAGTGTACAAGATTCGTACATACGAATGGCAATGTATGGATTGCAAGGCCTGCGGCATATGCGGCGACTCGACTGACGACGACAAATTGCTGTTCTGTGATCAATGCGATCGTGGTTATCATACTTTCTGTGTGGGCCTTCACCACACGCCGCGTGGTAAGTCCATGCCAGAGCAGTTGAGGCCGTACCTACAAACCCATGGTGACTGACCCCATTTTGTGCCTCCGTCATAGGTCGATGGGTGTGTGAGGCTTGTGGCCAGTGCGACTCGTGTGGTGCAACTGATCATCACGGGGACAAGTGGCACCACGTGGTACGTGGCATCGTTTCCTTGGGCTGCCGATCATGTTCCTTGCAGGTGATGCTTTACGCATCTCGTTGCGCATGCTTCACGATACTCCGTCTCTCCTCTCGCTTATCGCTTAGACTCAGAAGGAAGCGGATGGGAGCAAACGTTTCATTGTTACCGTCTGCAAGCCTTGCCACGTTCAGTTTGATGCTGGGCACGTCTGTCCCGTCTGTGTCAAGGCCTACGATCCTGACAAAGACAGCGCAGCATTGGTTCAGTGCACCATATGCGAACGAAAGCTCCACCAAGGTATGCACACTTTTTTTGCCCCGGGGTGTGTGCGTTGCTAATCCGTTTGTTTGACTGCGCTTTCTGTTGCGTGCAAATCTTTTTTTCAAAAATCCCCGACGCTGCCGGGGCTCCCATAGCTTGCGAAGCAGACACGCCGCCAAGTGACACACCAGAGGGTTTGGGATCGATTTACTACTGCTCACTTTGTCGGGGCCTGAAGCCGGATATTTACGATGCCCATCATGCACGCAATCGACGCCAAGCGACAGGAGCAGCAGCTGCGCCCGGGAACTCGGCATGAGGGGAGTGCGTGTGCAAAGTGAATACCTAAAAATTGAACATTGCACTAGTCACCGACTCGTGCAGTCTCCAATCATCGCCAACACGAAAAAAACAAAGCAAAAACACACAAGACTGGTCGCTTTGGGGATACCCCGAGGGGGGTTTGAAGGTTGCGGGGCGGCACCCAAACTGCCTGTCAATGCTTACGCATCCGGCTCAGGAAAGCGCTCACTCCACGTTTTCAATACGGGTCTTAAAACTTCTGGCGCGTTGTTTGACTTTTTCACCTGCCAGAAGAGTTGGCTAGCAGCTTGGATGATATCGTCCGCTTCAAGACCATCCCGGATGTTGTTGGCAATCTAGAAGCGCACAAAAGCACAGAATATCAGGCAAGGTGTGGCACGTCGGGTGCTAGCCTGCCAGTCCTGGCCTGGCCTGTGTTTCCCCTCTCGGTCCACCTGGAGTGCAAGCAGGATGATATGAAACATACCTGCAATACGATTTCCGGCTGGGGATCATCTAGTGCCATGAGGGCGTCGCGCTGAGAGCGCAACATGGCCGCACAGATGAAAAGCTGAAATTGTGAAGAGAGATGCTGCGACCATATGACCTGTCACAAGGCAAGGAATGAGCGAGCCATGTTTTTGACCGAGCCAGGAAAAAAAAAAAAAAAAAATAATAATAAAATAAAATACACGAGCCAGTCGATGCACAACACAGCAAAAAGCGCGCACTCTTGAACCACGCACCTCCCAAATTTTACGTGCACCAGAGACGTCAAAGTCGCGTTTGAAAAAGACCAGGAGCCAGCGCAAGCAAAACAGAAAATGGGTGGAATTGGCTCGCTCAAGCTGATGCATAAGGTGGGGGTCCACAAACCGAACCAACGTGGACACGAGCTTCAACTGGTTTTCAATGCCATGCTGATCAAAAGCATAGAGCGGTTCGAGGTCCTCCATCCAGTGTGCAAAGGCCCAGAAAGTCAAGGCTTCATCCCGAAATACAAGCCAAAGGGCTGATGCGATATCATTCATACCCTGAACGTAACCTACGGCATCGAGTGTCGTGTGACGCGAAAGCCGAGAAAGAGGGAGCGGCGGAGTCGCGAGGCAAGGGGTGGCAAGCTTAGGGCGCAAAAGTTGCGCAAAGGCGGTACAGAGGCATAGTACAGCAGGCGCACGCACCGAGGTCAAAGTTCAGCATGAGGTAGGCGAGAAGAAGCTCGCGGACGGCCGTGAGGCCTGCTGAATCCTCGTATTTGAATTCTGGCAGGTGGCGATCTGTTCGGGGCACGTCCTTGTCAATGCTGTGGATCATTTCGCGTAGACGTGAATTGCGAGCGAGTTGATATTCGGATTGCGTCTGCCATTGGGTCTTGAGAAGTTGATAGCGCTCGCGTTGATCCTCCATCTCTTCGGCGGTTGGTTTCATGGGTTGTTGTAAGAAGAAGCGCCAGGCAAACGGCCGAGCCTCATCTTGAAGGGTGTGATCAAACACTGCGCGACGAAAATCTGCTTCATCCTTGAGTTGACCTTTCTCGTCAAATTGCTGATGCACCTCTTCCAGAGTAAGCGGCGCCAGACGGAGACAAGCAGGGGGCTCAGGTAGCTCGTGAATCTCCATCACATCAAACTCGCCGAGATCGTTTTGGGTTGTATGCCGACAGACAGCGTCTCCCGAATCATCGGCCGCGGTAGGGGTCTCTGGTTCATGCATGACAGGGTCGAAGAAATTTGTGGTGTTGATGACGTTGTCGGGGTTCATCATACGCGAAAAATACTGGTTCAACTTGACAAAAGGCATGGCCCATTGATGCTGCGCAAATCAAAGACAAGTTGGAGGTTAGCTGAACAAGCGAGCCACTCAAAAGGTCCGCTGTGACTGTGCTTGTCGTCCGAGTCATCATCCAAGTATCAAAGTGGGGTGCGTGCAAGGGCGGGCGTGTATGGAGGCCTATTGGCCCTTGGCAGGAGCGCACGACCTACCGAATGCACACCCACGGATTGTGCTTTGCGAGCAAATTTGGGGTCAGCGGTTGCTATCCACTTGAGCAGTCGATCGACATCTTCCTTCCCCTTGGTAAAAACGAGGGGGCCAAAGGTGCCTCGGCGTTCAGAGATGATGATGAGCTGGTTGCTCTTGGGGCATTGGTAGCCCGTGACCTCGCTGACGGGGATCTCGTATTTGATCACGCCGAGCGATGCCGCCTCCGAAGCCTGAACCGCTCGCCAGCGCAGCTCCATGCGACGGCGAGCGCCGCCATCAGTCTGAGGGTTGTCAAGAGGCTCCATCAGTTTGGTCGAGAAAGGTCGGCCAGCGGGCCCAGAACAGAGGCGTGGGTGGTTCTTCTCGACAAAACACGTTCGTACAAGCACGTACCACACGCAGAAGTTGGAGGCAGCCCTGCACGGGGGGTCGCTGCAAGTTGACGGGGTCAGATTCGAAACAGATCTAAATGCAATGCAATGCAGTATCAAGTGCTTTGTGAGAATCGCACTCGTAGGCCTGGTCTGTGCTTACCTTGCCCTTCGCGAGGACAAGGTGAAACCACCATCAGAGCATGTTGGAGGCCAGCACATCTACCTTCTCGTCCTTGTCCACCATGTTGGTGCGGTATACGGGTCAAGAAGCGTCCGACTTGAATAAAGTATTCCTACAGGTCCAAGCGCAAGAACAACTGCGCACGCGTGAGCGGCAACAACACCGAGCCACCGCGGGGTAGCCAGCCAGTTGCTTTTGAGAGTGAGCTCCAAAAAGCATTCCCCCCCCGCCCCCCGCCTCCCTCGAGCCGATCAAGCCGTACCAGTACCGTCTTAAGGCACCGCGTTGATGACAAGCAAGCTCCACCCAGCCAGTCGTCTCGACTCAATGGTCCCCACTAATCGCACCGTCAAACGTCAACGCGTCCGTCAGTACACGTTCTCCCGCGCTGCCGTTCCCTCTCTCTCTCACTCTCTCTCTCACTCTCTCTCTCTCTCACAAGCTGTGTGTGTGTGTGTGTCTCTCGCTCAAATTCACTCTCTCTCTTCTCTCTCTCTCTCTTCTCTCTCTCTCTTCTCTCACAACACACGTAACGTTATGGCGTTGCGCGTTCGTTTCGAAGGCCCCCTCTCGGATCTAAACTCTTGGTGCTTCTTTAAAATGAAAAGGGGGATTTATGACCGTTATGCGTCTGAAGCACAAACAGCAGTAAGACGGTCACACACAGCACACGAACTCGGGGACACAGGGCGTCAGATTGAACTTTGCCATCCTGACGGGCAACGTGTGTGAGCCGAGGACGAGGTCAAGTTTGAGGACGAGGTCAAGGACGGGGTCCAGGCCCTCAAGGTCAAGGTCGAGGGTGAGATCGTGGCGGTCAAGAAGATGTGGCAGGTTTTAGGGTTGTGACAAATGAAAAGATGAGCGGGCTGCCCGGTGGCCAGGCGGCAATGAGTGCCAGCTCTCAAGTGCCCATGTCGGTACCCATGCCAATGCCCGTGACCACGCCGGTTGGAATTCCCGAGCAGCTTGCGGAGCAGTATCCCTTTCCAGCCGACATTTCCTCGCTTGCGTCATCAGCAGCGGGAGGCCAACACATTGCTTCCGTTGCCACTCCCGGTCACAATGACTGGGGTTACCAGGTTGCTTTGCCCGGGGGTGGAATGGGGTTGGCCCCACCTCACATGCCAGCCGACAGCGGATCACTCCTGTCAAATGGCGGTCCTTTTGCATACCCCCCCTTGATGCCAGGGTCATACTTGGCTCATTCTGCACTTGGTCTTCCAGCAGAGGCTGCTTCTCCACCTGGCTCAGTACCTGCTCTTGAGCCAAGAATGACTGCCCCCATCTTTACACACAAGCCCCTCGCCCCTCCTTCTCAGCAGATGGCACTTCCAGTTCAAGCTGCCGCGCCGCCCCCAGCTGTCATGTCGCAAGCAGCCACTGGCCCCGTGTCGTTACAAGGCGGCCTCCCCCAAGCCATGCCACAAGTGCTAGCAGCTACTTCATCGTCGCACCCGTTACCGCCCAAGCGGACCACTCGGAGCTCCGCCCAGAAGAAAGCAGCCGGAAAACGCAACAGCCGGCCCAAGAAGCCCCCCTTGCCGCCAGGCCCGCCGCCTGCCGCCAGCCTTCCCGTTGCCAACACGTCCATGGCTGGCCAAAGCGGCCCGCCGCTGACTGCTTCAAGCCATCCCGGCCCTGATACTATTCCTGGTGACTCTACAGCTGCCGGCTCAAAACATGGTTCACCAGATAACGCCGAGGCACCCAGGCAACCAACAAGCACGGGTATGCCAATGGCTCTCAGGGACCCCGCCTTCGCTTGTATACTTCTCCTTTTTGTCAACTCACTCTCTGGTCTTGCCAGTGGCACCCTTGTTCAAGCGCGCCTCAGGCAAACGCAAGAGCAAGGTGGCTGCTGGTGCGACGTCCAACGCAAATGCAGGAGAAGTGCCTGCTCGAATGCCTGCTGGCAAAGCGGTGCCTACCAAGGCCGCACCCATCTTCATGACGCGCGAGGACAAAGCAAAGGAAGCAGCCAAGCTTCGTCGCGAGGTGTGTTTTAAGGACTCCCTGTGGCTCATGTCAATCATGGTTTGTGAGGGAGCGAAAAGAGTATGTTATGTGCTCATTCACTCTTTGGCTTTGCCCAACCTGGGCATCTGCAGCGGCTCCACCAACAGCGTGAATCGTCTCGTCAATTGCATGCTACTCTCTCGGCTGGCAAGCAATATGAAAAGGTCCGAAGCTCCTTCCACGCACCTATTCTTCCAATGTATTCCGTGCCGATTCACGTGCTCTTTCTCCATCCCATATGACTTTTGGCCCGACACAGACAATGACGCTAGTGCTACGACACGATGGAATGGGCCCCGATGGGACGCACCAGGCTGACCTGGCTAAGCTGGCTAAACCCGCCCCATGGCCCGGGCGCTGCCTGTTGGAGTCTTCTGCAACGCCCCAATCACCGCGAGCGTGCAGCAACACCTTGCCTTTTCCGACCCGTCACCGGCAGAGTAACACGCACGAAAATCTCACGACAATGACGCGAGAGGCTTCGTCTCTGGGGCTATGTGATGTGTCGCGCCTGCGTGCTTCTTTGGGCATGACAGCGCCAACACCTGGTCCAGATGTCATCGAGTTGGCCGATCCACTTCCCATCCCCTCGGGCTACATGGGTCTCGCGGCAGCCACGGCTTTGTATGAAGGACACTACATGCCTCTCAGCCATACACACCCGCAAAAGGTCTGTCATCTTTCCGAGTGTCTTGCCTGTTCGCCTCTGGTGCACTCACTCAAAGCTGCTAGCTAACCTTCGGATGGATACACGGTGGTTGTGTTTTGCTGTAGGACCAAGCCGTATGGAGCCTTCACTATCAGCCAAGCCGCGTTGATCATCTCATTCATAATCGCCGCCAAGGTAGGCAGCGAGGAAGGCGCAAGCGGTAGAACGTGTCGCGTACTTTGGCTCGTGCCTATCGTCATTTTCGTTTTGATTTTTTTTTTCACTTTTTTTGCCCTCAATTTGCCGGGGGTCTTTAGGCCGGTTGTTACGGGCCTGGTTGCAAACAGCCAAAAGCAGGCTTGCCAGCTTGATTGGCCGGCATGGTACGGCCGGAAAGGAGGGCAAGTCACGCCGACAGCCCAAGACCGTGCGGCAAGAGCCGGCCTTTGTCGTGTCTGACGAAGCCGCAGATAACAGCGATGATGACTTTGTCATGCCTCATGTACGCCCGCTCAACGCGTTTTACAACCGCCCCGTCAACCATGTGACCATATCAATTGCTGGTTTCGTTTCCACTCAAGCCATCGGTGGCCGCGGCATGCTGTTGGTGCCCTGTGCAGCGTACCTTGCGAAATTTGGGGGGTCATCCTGAATCAGATGATGAGGAAGAAGAGGCAGAGAATCGCGTTTTGGCCTTAGTCGGCCCTACTGGTGCGTTGGTTTCGATGCGCATGTGACTCTAGAGTCATCCCTCTGACAGGAACCTCCGTCATGACTGGCCTTGTCTCATTGTAGGATCGGGCAAGACGGCAACTCTGTATGCGTGCGCTCAGGAGCTGGAGTTTGCTGTCATGGAAATCAACAGCTCCGACTCTCGTTCGGGTCGCAATGTGCGTGCCAAGCTTGAAATGTGAATGTCTGGCTAGTTGAGTGTGTGGTTCCTCACCATTATTTTTCACCTGTCTGCAGTTGACGCGCATTCTTTCCGAGGCCGTTGCATCACACCAAGTGGCATGTCAAAGTGACGTCACTCCGAGCGGCGAGCCTGGTTCTTCACAGGTGTGCTCTGATGTGCGGCCGTCACACTGGCTCTTTTTTTTTTTTTTTTTTTTTTTTTTTTTTTTTTTTAAATACGATCGGTTGTGGACAATGCGTTGAATAGGAGGCATCGAGTCAAAACTCAACTACAGCATCGACTCCTGGAAGCAGTAACGTGGCCATTCTGGATGCTGCGCTGATACTGATTGAAGATGTGGATCAAATATTTGATGATGACAAAGTAAGCTCGACTTTTGTCGTATGGGCTACTGTATTGCGCTTGTCGCTCGTGTTGTCGTTACCGGCACCATTGTCTAATTCCGCACGTGCTCGCTGATATAGGGGTTTTGGCCTTCGTTGCTACAGCTAGCAAAGGAAACAAAACGGCCCATCGTTATTACGGCGGAAGGTAAGAACCCGCCGACCCGTATCGAACACTCGCCCCAGAGTTGACAACGGCAAGTGCTCACGCAGATTCATAATTCTTTGCAGACGAGAGTGCATGGCGGGACAGTGGACTGAAGCCAAAGGTCATTCACCTTGAACGTCCATCTCCTCATCGTCTTGCGTTGCACGGCGAGGTATAAAAGCGCGTGGCTGCCGCGCAAAACTTGCTCCCACGTCTTTGACATTATCTGACCATGTAGATAATCCTTTTCCCACTTCACACCCGTGCATGTGCTCACACCGGCCACTGGGCTATCTTTTCGCACCAATACAGCTCTTACTGGCTTCTCGGGGACAAGCCATACCTTCAAAACGCCTCCTGCACCTGGCCCAGCGCGTCAACGGGGATACGCGTCGTTTTTTTAATGAGCTTCAGCTTCTTGTGCTTGCCCCGCACTTGCACACAGCCGTGGTAGGTTGCAATGGCCCAACTTCTTTGGCAACCGATCAAACTAGCAGATGCCACGACTACAGCCCAGTGTGCTGCAAGGTGTCTTGTGTTGCTAATCCACCGTTTCAACCACTTTTATAGGAGGAAGAGGGTCTCGAATACCAAGCTAGTTGGTCTTGGGTAAGCAGACAGGGAGTCAGCGTGGATTGAGCAACTTCCCTCTTGCTCTTAGTTTTGTTCATGTGTCGAGGTGTACACTCACCCCCTATTGCGATGATCGATGTGCAGCCAACCATTTCTCTCGTCGCCGAGTTGCGCTGCATTGACCTTCTCGATAATGAACGCCTCGGGCAATTGGCGCCCTCTCTCTTGCAGGTTTGTGTCACCGTGTCACTGCGTATCTCTGTGTGTGTGTGTTTGTGTGTGTGTGTGTGTGTGTGTGTGTGTGTGTGTGTGTGTGTATCCAGACAAAGAAGTTTTAAATTTTGCCTTTGCGAGATTTCAGCACTCAAAGCAGCCAACGCACGCTTGCTTCGCCCTGTCCGACAGACAGAGCATTCAAGTGCAAGTCCCGAACCCAAAGGCCCAGCTTCGCCCTTGCCTACCAGTCCGAGCGCACCCGCATCTTCCCGTGCTGGTGATCCTGGTGAATTGACTCCAACAGATTTGATATCGCCGCTCGCCACCAGTGGCGGCAAGTCGGCTCCAGATGCGGAACAACCTACGGCTCCTCGCGATGCCCTCCGGCTGGAGCAGTGGGCACGGACAGCATTACCTGTTGCCCCAAGCCATCTCCTTCAAAGACGCGCATTTCGCTTGGTATCAAAGCCATTGTTGTCGAAAAACTGCTTTTGCTCCGCCTTCGCGTTGTGCCCAAGCTAATCGGTCTTGGCGTTTATGCCGGGATCATACTTAGGATTCTTGGCCCTGGCAGCGAGTAACGAGTCAAATTCGCCTTCGACGCGCCGAAGCCAAACGCCGCCGGTCTGATTCTCTGATCCTTTTGCCGGGCCTGTGTTTGACCGTTCTGGCGGTCGTGATGAAAGTTGTATCTTCACTCGTCTCACACGAAGTGTTATTCGGTTTGACAGGGCATCAAACCTGCGCTCCTCACTCGACGAGCTGTTGGCCGCCACAAGTTTATATCCTTTTCCTATGGTCGGCTCTCCCACCTCGACGGCATAGGAGAGAAGTGGTTTGCGCTCGTGCTCTCTTGTTGCTTTTTTTCTTCTCAGTCACGTCTCGATTTTTAAAACTCAACTTGTAAATTTTGTTTGGACACTATGGCTGAACATGTCATGTTGGTCAAGACGTGGTTCATTTTAAAGTTTACACTGCCAGGGAAATGCAAAGGCCAATAGAATCGATCCTTCGATTGGTTGTCCGGATTGCTTTTGACGGGAACAAGCCCAGCCATGTGGGAGACATGGGCGATTACTTGCGATGTTGACGCCGTGAGTAGTTGCTGGAGCCACGACCCGCGCGCTGATTTCCAATTCCGAGAATGTGGCGCACCTTTCTTTGGTACACAAGAGCAACACCGATTAGAGCAAAAACAGTCAAAGTGAGCAGAAGGGAGGAAGTGGAGCTTTGTTCATCGGCAAGCTCATCTTCACCCTCGATGGGCGCGTGGGTCGCGCTTTCCAAAGAATTCAACCCGGAATCAAACTTCTTTTCAACGGCAAACGCATGCATGTCGGGCCGCCCGGCGTCCGGTTGCTCATCGCTGCGCCAGCCATTGGGGTTGCTTCGTTCTGGGTTCTCCATTTGCCAGGCGTTGTTGTAGCCATCACTCTTTTGCGCGTTTCCGTCTTGCTCGGGCTCTTGACCTGGCATGTTATCATGCCCGCCAGCTGTTTCGTCAGGGTACTGCTCAGCAGCACCCCGTTCTGTCATGCTTTTTTCGCCTTGATTCTCAAGCTCTCGGTCGGGAGCATTGCCCGTGTCGAAACGCGAATCGGCAGGCCATTCATGGTCACCACCTTGTGCTGGCCTATTACTTTGCAAGTCTTCTTTGTTCAGCGGCCTCTTGCTCCAGGGTGAATCCCCATCCCCTAGGGGATTGGCATCGTCTAGCGAAGCGTCGTCGGTCTTCGAGATAGCCGCATCATCTTCCCATTGCCCTTTTGAAGCTGGGGCATCGTCGGTCTTCTCAGCGGGGGCATCGTCGGCCTCCTCAGCGGGGGCATCGTCGGCCTCCTCAGCGGCGGCATCGTCGGTCTCCTCAGCGGGGGCATCGTCGGCCTCCTCAGCGGCGGCATCGTCGGTCTCCTCAGCGGGGGCATCGTCGGCCTCCTCAGCGGCGGCATCGTCGGTCTCCTCAGCGGGGGCATCGTCGGTCTGCTCAGCGGGGATATCTGTTTGAGAGGGTTCGTTTGGGTTTGAAACCGACGTGACACCAGTTTCACTTGCTCGAGTTTCAGTTGCCACACGATCTGCGGCCCCAGCGCTTTCTGAAGATGGCGTGTGATCAACTTGGGAAGACAAACCGTTGTTAGGATCGGAGGCACCATTGTCTTCTGAGGCAAAGCCGTCATTGGATTGTTGGGCGGCGTTCTTTGTGTCACCGTCGGCGAGAGGTGATTCTCCATCCACTGCTGGCTTTTGACCGGCTGGAAAAAGAAGGGCATTGCTGTCGGGCTGTGCTTTTGCTTCTGATTCTCGATCGTCGGGATCCTCTGGTTCAACTAAAAACGCCTTATCAGCCTCCTGCATCCGTTCTTCTTGGGCTACTTGTACGGGATCAGCCTCCTCCATCATTTGAGTAAGCGAATCACCTGCCGGCACTGCACCTGCGTCATTTTGAGCGGCCTGTTGCGTCTCTTCTCGTTCAACCTGGCCGTAGTCGTCGTCGTCATCCGCTGCGTCTGTCGCCGTGCCCTTGGTGTCGTCGGCAAAACTCTGAGCAGATGTTTCATGTGCGCCTGCAAGCGCATTCATGGCGCGGTCAGCAGCACCATTCTCGACGAAGCCGTCAGCAGCACCATTGTCAGGGCCACCGGCAGTCTCGGTGCCGTCGACACCATTCGTGGCAGTGTCAAGACTGGAATGGGCCGCAATAACCTCGGCTTCGCCTTCCTCAAGAGCAGATGCAGTCTTCTCTTCACCAGCAGCCGCTGCATGAACAAGTTCCTTGTCTTCGACGGCAAGCGCTTTGTCATTCCCGTCGGCGACATAGGCATTTTCTGCAGCCTCTTCACGAGCTTCATCATCGTTGGGGTTGGTCGCTTGATCGGCCGACAGGACACTCTCAACGTCACTTCTACCATCTTCAGTTGACAGGTGTGCTTTCATGTCGTCAGCCTGCGCCTTTTCATTTGCATCGAGCGCCTGGCCTGGCACCAGTTGGTCTTTGTTTTCCTCCATGCTAGTTGTGAGACCATCTTCTATAGAATCCCCAAAAGCAACGGCAGTTGTGGGCAAGGTGCACTTTGCGATGGTAGGGTACAAAAATGTTCAAAAACAGCAGGAAAAGTGGGATTGACGCTGGAGGCATGTTCATAGGCAAGGGCTCATACCTTGGTCCGCGTTTTCAGCCGGGGGCAGCGTATTGGCGGCATCCTCAAACGTGTTATATGCAAGACCACCGTTCGCAGTATCGGCGGGAAGGTCTGGGGGGTCCGCTGCTGTGCCTGCCAAACGCATCATGCCAAGAAGGGGTGAGATGGAAGAGGAGAAGATTGTAACGGTCCAGCAAAGATAAAGTGCCGTGTCGAGCCCACCGTCGGATCTGGTTGGCACATCCTCTGCAAGCAAAACGCGGAACGTGAGGGAGCGTTAGATGCATCGAGCGAGGGA